CGTTGTAGGTAAAAAACCCTGAAGAACAGGGGAATGGTAGCCCCGATCCTCAGGAACCGACAAATAAGTTCAAATGCCCGGATGAAGGCAATAACATTGGGATGAAGCTCAGAGGGTGATAAGTTCAAGTGATTGAGCACCCCTATTTGGAAATCGTTGAACGGAAGTTGAAGTCCAAAGTCTTTGAATACGACCTCGTACATTAGGAAGGCGTCGTGGTTGAACTCCGAGCATATGCGAGCAGTAGGAATCGGCCGCAGGATTTTGAAATTCCTCTGGAAGCCTTCACGGTTGCTGCCATACTCGACGACAGTATAAGCTTGCCTCCTAGTGTGACTATATATCGAGGCTATTCCTCAAGGCTCTACACCGACCCAAGCCAAAGCAGGATCGTCGATTGTGTCGACCAAGTTGACGCCCTCCTCGGCTACACTGGTCTCTTCAGTGTCAATATGCTCTGACAATTCAGGAGCGTCAGCCATTTACCTGTAAAGCAGAGGAAACCGGTGAATTCGACAACAAATCCAAATCCACCCTTCCACGACGCAGATGAAAAGGCTAAGTAACGCTCAACCCAAGTCGACAGTCATTCGCGCAGAGAGGAAAAGTACATGGCTCTCGACCAGTCCATGAAAATCATGTCAGTCTTATAAGACCACAAAACTATCGTAACGACGAACACTTTTTCATGCAAACACTTTTTCATGAATACCCCGAGCACAGGATGAATACAGCGAGCGAGACATGAATTCGCCGGCCAAACTCATGAATCCTGAGGGGATCGCATAAATTTATCGCGCAAAAATCATGAATTTCATGGGGATATATAAAGATTACAGGGCAAATTCGTCTAAATGTCGGTGACAAGAGAAATATCGCGCGCTCAATCACGAATAATACGCCAAAATCCATGAATCCCCCAGGCAAAACCCCCAGTGGCTAAACCATACTACTAAAATGGAATCAAAGTCAATCTAAACAAAGAATATCACGGAAAAATACTTACTTGGAAAAGAATAGATGAAGAACGACAATGGTAGATGAGGAACACGCGGTGGATTGTGCGACGACGCCAACGATTACAGAGAATGGCACGACATTGGCAATAGGAAGAATGAAGAGCGCAAAAATATAAATGTGAATAATGGGCCTTGAGGCGCTATTTATAGAGCTGACGTGGAATGCGAAACGTCGCATCGGGCATCCCAACAACCGCCTTTCTCCTCGACACCTACGCACTCGGCTAATGATGACCCTTACTCCCTAGGCCATCATTACAACCCTAAACGTCACACCACGTGCCCATACCCCACCGCTTTTCTTCTCTCCGTGTTGAGAACGTCGCCATCTCGAGTCCATTCCGAACGCTGCTCTGGTAAACCCGTATACCGATGACTTTCTCCGTCCATGCACTGAGAGATTCTCGTCGAGTAACACACTTCATAAAAAGAATAGGCTAGATTTAAGTCATATCTCCTTCATCAGAAGCAACGACTTGGGGGGCTCCTGTTATGGACTGGGCCTGCCCCTGGCCTAACTCCATGTGAGGCCCAATCCACGTCGGGCAGAATATGTTCCACTCCCCGTAAGGAAGCGACCTCACTACAAGAGGGGAAAACCCAGGTAGCCTTAGGGAGCTCACACACCGGTCAGGATGATCCCGAGGACACCTTCTGATCCTTCTCTTCGAAGCCTTATCTCCTCACACGACCTCGTGTTTGGTGGGGTGCATTCCACGACGAGAAGAAGCACCTTACGAGCATCCTCCTCGTAGGGATGACTATAAACGTCTCCGAATATCAGAGTCTTCGTGGCCCCAGAAAGACCGCATCTATATCCTCCTGGTCTTGCGGAGGAAGTCATCCAGGTGGAGGATCACGTACGGGTCTCCACTACTCACGTAGAATCTGGTAGTCTCCACTTTGGGCATGCTTGACCAGTCCAATGAGGAGACCTTGGCCCAATGTTAGGGGCTATAAATACCCTCTCTTTTGAGAGGGTCAGGTATTAAACATTTTTTACTCTCATACTTGCTTGCTCATTCTGAAACTTACTTTGACATCAGAGTGTCTTGCAGGTACCCTCACCTCACTTTCAAGTTCTGCTCGGAGCAAGCTGTGACGGGCCATTCTGGTCAGGTACGATCAATACAATTTAGACTTTGGTTAATATTAAATATAAAATTAATTAATATAATTTATAATTTGATTAATGAATTCTCAAGTATAAAAAAAATTAAATTATAAAATAAAGTTGGCTAATGAAAGATAAAAATTATTTAATACATTTATAATTTAGTGTCAAAATATAGTTAGTAATATATATTTTATTGATTAATAAAATATTAAAAGTGATTAATAGATTATAAGTAAAATAATTAATTAATAACATATATTTTTGTAGTTAATATAATTGTGAAATTGATTAATAACACAATTTTATATTTGTGTTATAAAATAAATTTTAAAAATAATTTTTTTTAAAAAAATATTTTTTAAAAATAATATTATTTTAATATAAAAACACTGTTAACATTGTTTATTTAATATGATATAATGAAATGCGAGAAAAATATCATCATCCTATTATTTCATATAAGATGATATACTATAATTTAAAAATTTTAATTAAAAAGAATAACTTAAAATATTTTAATTAAAAAAAATATATTAAAGTTAAAGATCATACAAATAGGATTGATGTAAAATAGCGTTAGGGATTTCCCCAAAATTTTAAAATCATAATCATTTTAAAATAAATAAAATACATAAAATAGAGTTAAGAAAACATAAAAATATCATTTCGAACTCAATGAGTAACATGTTAACTCTAACTAAAAATTTAGCTTGTTTCTAAAATAGAAGAGAGTATGTGATTACTAATAATGATATACAACAAATTAAACCAAAGTAGGATAGAAAATGAGAGAAATTATAAAAACTAATTAGACAACTATTTGAGGTTTCTACGTCTTAATCTTGGATGTTACATAATTATATATCGAGAGATAGTGAGATATATGGTATGAATCTTGATTTTGACAGAGTTTTAGATAATTTTTGTGATATAATTCCAATTTTTGACTTTAGTGGCTTTATTAGAATAGACATTGTCCTCCCTAAAACACTAATATATTTTGGCAAGTGTCATTTTTAGCAAAAGTATTCTGGATATAAATAAAGTTTGACATGATTATAAGACATAAAGTTATTTTTGATTGTTTACAAGCACCACATGCTCAAGATTTTCTCCTTGCTATCTCTATTGATGGTCTAGGCCAACATATGTGAGTATCGTACCATCCTTAAATACCGATTTATGATTCCCTTATTTCTCGTTGACGAGATTTGTGTTGGAGAGTCCGAAAGAGTCGAAACTTCTTTAACATGTATATTTTCAACCAACCCAAATAATCTCCACCTTGATTGAAAATAATACATAAACTTCCATTGTCTTCACCGATAATCATACTCCATCATAAAGAGTATAGTCACTTGAAGCTACATCACTCCAAGAATTTTCACATTGTCTTCACCGACAATCATACTTCATCATAAAGAGTAGTCACTTGAAGCTACACCACTCTAAGAATTTTCACATTGTCTTCACCGACAATCATAGTTTTAAAAACTATCATACTCCATCTAAAGAAGAGTATACTTCACTTAAAGCTAAACCACTTCAAAAAATTTCACATGCCGAAAATAAAGTTGAAACTTTATGGTGAAACTTCCATGTTGATAGGAAACTCTTCAACCACCGACATAATCTTGCACTTTGTGTAATCTTGATTTTGTCAACACATCTTTGACTCGAATTTTCCACAAGTCAAAAACAATTCTTTCATCAATTTTCTCTAGCCTAAATTGCACAGTAAAACCCGTGACTGCTGCTCAACAACTCTTTCACAACAAACCTTTCTTTTCTGATGTGGAAGATCTGACAAAACTGCAACCACAAAGCATACTAAGAACACTTATCCCCATATCGAACCAAGAGTTCTGATACCAGTTGTTGGGGAGTCCGAAAGAGTCGGAACTTCTTCAACATGTATATTTTTAATCAACTCCAACAATTTCCCCTATTTGCCGCAAGACGTGCTTGGATACATTTGGGGAACACGCTATTCATCGCAAAGAGCTTCCAGGATTCAAATAGCAACATAATTTTGTTAGGGATGTCATATTTGACATATTTAGGCGTGTAGAGATATCTGTGAAGAAAAATGCGTATGTGAATTTCTTGACTGATCCATAGAAGGGGAGATCGACTCTTAAGCCAACAGATATTCTAGTGTATGGATGGGTAAGAGGGAAATTGACCCGGGTTTTCTCACTGGTGGGACGCAGGACTGAAGGTTTTACTGTGGGACATGCAACTCTCAAAACCGCTTCAAGCAAAGTGGCCAAACACGAGAAATCATGTTCCGACAATCAATATGCTTTTATACCATTTGCTTTTGATATTTTTAACTTTCTAACATCAAAAACGATAAATCTTTTATAAAAAGTGCAAAGGTTCATGCATAATAATATTGTGTCACCTATAACTATGAATATAATTTTTAAGAAGATTGATTTTCCCATTCAAAAAGAGATAGCAGCTTAACTTATTATTCGTTTGTCTACTATTAGTGTATAATCATTTATTAAATATAATTTGTAAAGAGATGTGTAAAGTGTAATTTCTTTGCACACATAATGAGTTTGGGACAAAAAAAAATAGTGAAGAAAACAATGAACAAGAGTCGAACATCATTTTCATTGGAAAAAAAAGCTATGACTCCAACCACAACTATAATAGTCAAAGAGAATTCTAAAGATATATATATGCTACATTTGTAATTTTTTTGTGTGGTACAGAAAGAGTTCAATAATATTCATCCAAATCTTTTACATCTTGTCCCTCCACTTTATCTCCTATTTTTATCATCACGAGACATTATCATTGTGTTAGAAGGAAGATAAAAATTAAAATATATTTTCTGTATTTTAATAGCAATGACGCAAACCGATAACTCAAACGATATAGATTGTTCATATGTCCCCGTACCCGGAGAACCTCACACCGTTGAAGCTCCGGCCGAGAGCCGTGGAAAGTTGAAGGCGGGGATTGTGATCTTTTGTGGATTGTTATCGCTAGCTTCCTTAGTAGCATACACTGGTTACATTGCACCAAATAACAAAAGCGATGAGTTATATTCAACATTAAAATCTCATTCAAATGAAGATAAATATAAAACAATACCTTTTCGTAAATGGGAACCGGTTTCAAGAGGCGTGTCTGTTGGTGTTTCAGAGAAATCCAATAGGATGTTCAAAACCAAGACCAATGTACGAACTTATCCTTGGAATAACCATATGTTATCATGGCAGAGAACCGCTTTTCATTTCCAGCCGAAACATAATTGGATGAATGGTAGTAAATCCTTTCGTTCTTTTCTATTAATATATATATATATGTATATATATATTTGGTTGAATGTTTATGACACTAACTTTTTCTTTCCTTTTTCATTGGGTAACTTGGATTGCTCTCACTGTCAAACTGGTTTTGTTTACTTCAGATCCTAACGGTATGATGATAACTTTGTGTCATGCAACATATGTTATTGCATGAGTTTCACATTACATGTTTGACAATTGGTGTGTTTGTTTTTGTTTTAGGTCCATTGTACTACAAGGGTCGGTATCATTTTTTCTACCAATACAATCCAAATGGCGCGGTTTGGGGTGACATAGTATGGGGACATGCAGTCTCAAAAGACTTGGTTCATTGGCTTCATCTTCCACTAGCAATGGTAGCAGATGAATGGTATGATCTAAATGGTGTGTGGACAGGTTCTGCTACAATATTACCAAATGGTGAACTCGTCATGTTATATACTGGTGCAACAAATGAATCAATACAAGTACAAAACCTTGCATACCCTGCCAATACTTCGGATCCACTCCTAGTTAATTGGACCAAATACTCGGAAAATCCAGTTCTATTCCCACCCCCTGAAGTTAATTTCATTGATTTTCGTGATCCGACCACGGCTTGGCTTACCTCTCAAGGTAAATGGCGTATATCAATTGGTTCTAAGATTAACGAAACTGGTGTAGCTTTGGTTTACGATACCAAAGATTTCAAGACTTTTGAGCGTGTGGAGGGTATGCTTCGTCGTGTGCAAGAAACTGGCATGTGGGAATGTGTTGATTTTTTTCCTGTGTCAACTAAATTGGATAACGGATTGGATACTTCTGTTAATGATGATGGTGTTAAACATGTGATGAAGGTTAGCTTGGATGAAGAAAGACATGATTATTATGCTATTGGAACTTATAATGAAAGTATTGCTGATTTCGTACCCGATGATATTAATAAAGATGTTGGTATTGGATTGAGGTATGATTATGGTGTATTTTATGCTTCCAAGACATTTTATGACCAAAGTAAAAAGAGAAGAGTATTGTGGAGTTGGGTTGCTGAGTCTGATAGTGAATATGTTGATGTTGAAAAAGGTTGGGCATCACTTATGGTATGTTATTATTTACCAACAACTTTTAAATGAATCTTATATAAAGTTGTTAGAGGTGTAAATATGTAAGTTTAACACACCATGTCAATGAATCTTGACTCATATTTGGTTTCCTTTTTAATCATACAGGGTATTCCGAGGACACTGGTGCTCGACAAGAAAACGGGTAGCAACTTACTTCAATGGCCTGTTAAGGAGGTGGAGAGTTTGAGAACCAAAAGTCACAAGTTTGAAAATTTGCAGGTGAAGCCAGGGTCAATTGTATCCCTAGATATTGGAACAGCAACTCAGGTTTGTGTTCATGTTGTCTGTTAACTTTTTCAACTTACATTGCAAGTAATTAAGAGAAAATCAAGATTTTTCTTTAATATAATTACGAATGCAAACTTAGTTAATGACATATAATTGAACTTGCAATGCAACAGTTGGACATTTTAGCTGAGTTTAATATTGATGAAAAAGCTATAAACAAGACAAGGGAGACCAATGTGGAGTACAATTGTGAAACTAGTGATGGAGCTCGTGCTCGTGGCGCGTTAGGACCTTTTGGTTTATTGGTTCTAGCAAACGATAATCTTTCTGAAAAAACTCCTATTTACTTTTATATTGTTAAAGGAAGAGACGGAAATCTCAAAACTTCCTTCTGTTCTGATCAATCCAGGTACATGTCAGACGATTTTTCGTTTTGAACTTGAAATAATGTTACGTTAAATTAATTCATTTATATCTTTTTCTTTTAGGTCTTCTTTGGCAACTGATGTTAGTAAGAAAATCTTTGGAAGCTTAGTCCCAGTGCTTCAAGATGAGAAGCTATCTCTAAGAATATTGGTAAGTTAAATTGTATAAATTTTCTATGGTTTTCAATTTTCATGATCATAACATTATGTTTCATCTCATGCACATGAACCAAATCAACTAATCAACTTCAAATTATTTTCATGAAATGTGTGGTTATTAATTTAGGTGGATCATTCTATTATTGAAAGCTTTGCTCAAGGTGGAAGAACATGTGTGACTTCTAGGGTTTATCCAACAAAAGCAATCTATCGAAAAGCTAGATTGTTCTTGTTTAATAATGCTACTGAGGCCACTGTTTATGCTTCACTTGAAGTTTGGCATATGAAGTCTGCATCCAAAAAGCCATTCCATTACGATCAAATGAGTTAAATTGAAGAATTAAGATAACTAGAAGTTACAATTACATAGGTGATTATGTTTTTTCGCATGATATGTTTCAAAATATGTGCAAAGACCCTCTCATTAATCTAAATTAAGTTTTAGATTATTGTTGAGCAAAAACCCATGGCTCCTACACTTTTGTCCAAATATATTTTTTTTATAATTCTTTGTAAACTAGATGCTCTTGGATGAGCATCACTAGATATCTTCTTACATTAGGAGAGCTTGTAATGATACTTTACAATAATAATCTATAAATGCAAGAAATTTTAATAGTAAAATGTTTACACTTTTATAGATTGGAATATTTAGATATAGTGAAACAAAAATAATTTATTTTCACTTTTGTATTGATTGAAAAGAGAAGTAAAATTTTTATATGGTAAAAAATAAAAGGTTACATGAACAAACAAGAGAATGTATTGCATTAAAATCATAACTTTATTTATTTTTTGTTTAAATAGAATTTTCGTCACCGTAAAATATAATTTTTTTTAAAATTTTCAACCCTAAACCTCTTGTTCATAACTTTAATATCCTTCCACTAAATCACTTATCTTCTTTGTTTAATTATTACAATGCATATGTATGTACTTCAACTATTTAAAAGGAGGGATGAAATCTAACATTTGAATGATTTTGTAATTTCTTCTTTCTCACTTTAATTTCGTCGCCTTTTTCTTTCTCTCTTCAATATCATTGATTTAAATCTAATATTTAAATGATTTTGCAACTTTTTCTTCCTTACTTCAATATCATTGCCTTATTCTTATTCTTCCTCTCTTCAATATCATTGCACCATTGACTTAAAATATTTTATTTTGAAACCAAGTGAATAAAATGCAGTAAGAAAAACTCATAATTATTAACCAGCACCAAATAAATGTAGTAGCAGAAAATTCAGAAAATAGGGACCAAAACAAAAAAACAAAAAAAAATATTAGTAGAAACCCAAAATTAGGGACCTAGTCCAAAATATATATATTTAAAGACTAAGACTAAAAATACGCTAACTTACAAGAACGGTAAAATAAGTACAAATTTTTTTCATCTTCAACCTTCTTAGAAGCAACCCATAATTAAGGTGTAAAGGAAGAAGAAGCATTGTAAATAGAGGACACTTCAAAACTTATTCATGGTAAAATTTTCTCTTCCCAATAATTTAATAAATCCAACCTTAACAACAAATACAAAAATTTCTTCTTGTTGTTTATAACAGCAAATCCAATAATTAAATAGATCCAACTTTAACAACGAAATAAAAAATTTCTTCTTATTGCTTCTAACATCATATTCAATAATCATTTTATTCAAAGTACTCCTTTTAACAGAACAGATGAAAAGAATTATTGATCTCATCATCCCTCCTTTTAAAACCCTCATTAAAGTGAGTATTGAAAAAGAAGAAGAATGCAATAAATTGAGTTACAATAAGTTGTTAAATTGCAATAAGTTGCAGTAAGTTGCATTTAAATATATAAATATCGGTGCATTTGTTAAATAAAGGAAGGTGATGGACGAGTGATAAGGCCTTTGGTGTTTGAACTAAAAGGGGGTGGGTTTGAATCCTCTAGAATGCAAAAAAATTAGTTTTCAACCTTTAACACTTATAATAAAATAATAATATAAATTTGTCTACATAGAATTTAATAACGTCACTAGTCACATATGTCTTTTTGTAATAGAATAAGGTTAGGAATTGTTTTGAACTGGTCCAATGACTAGAATTGACTCAATCCGCTTCTACCTCAGCACGGCCCAAACAACTTTGGTCCACTAACTCTGATTTTCGATTGAGCATACTTGGTCGACCGTTCCATGAGAATATCTAGGATAACGATGCCCTAACCATGCGTCTGCCCGCATTAACATCCATTTTTAGGTCTGCTCGCTACTCGTCGAGCAGACAACCAGAAAGGCGCTCACAACGCGTCTGCCCGTCATCCCACCCTTGCTCGAAGCAACGGCTAATTACGAACACGATCACCCGTTTTGACCAGGTCATGGCAGTTACCTATTTTTGAGGAACCTAATATCTAGACCTAAAAATAGGAACCAATGGCTACGCGCTGGGGCATTATATAAACCCTCACACTTAAGAGGGTCAAATATCGAATATTCATACTAAAAACCCTAATCTTTTTCTTGTATCTCTTTGCACTCTTTCTCACTAGATCGTCAGAGTGCCTTGCAGGTACACTCTACTCCTCTCCTCATATTTCCAACCAAGAAGACGTCACCATATTTCGGCCCACTTTTAGTTTCTGATCAACTGGTAAGATTAGTGGCACCGTGGGTGGGAAACTATCTTCTCCATCTTCCTTTTCCTCAAAACCGAAGACCAAAGATACTTTCACTACTTTTATCATGGTCGACCATGATGACCACCATCTTTCTGGAAAGACTATACTCTCTCTCGTCCACAAGACAGATGGGAGCCAAGAGCATCCTCATCTAGAGGATGTCCCCGATGTCAGAGATGGTCGAAAAACCTGGCTCTCTAATGTAGTTCTTGTAATAAAAGAGTAATGGAAAATGGCGCATATGCATTGACTATAACGATCTTAATAGGGTTTCCCTAAAGACGCTTACCCCCTTCCAGTATAGATAAATTGGTTGACAATTCGACAGGTTTCAAATTACTATCGTTCATAGATGTGTACTCTGGATACAACCAGATCCCCATGGAAAAAACGAACAAAAAATCCACGGCCTTCATGACCGAATCAGGAAACTATTACTACAACGCGAGCGCGAGCGCTACCTATCAGTGCATGATGAACAAGGTCTTTCAAGGAGAAATCAAAGACATGCTCGAAGTCTACATGAACAACATGATTGTGAAATCCCAAGAGGAATCCGACCATGCGCTCCGCCTCAGGAAGATCTTCGACCAAGTGAGAAAATGCAAAATGCGATTAAACCCGAAAAAATGCACCTTCAGCGTACGAGCAAGTAAGTTCCTTGACTTCTACTTGACAGAACGAGGAATCGAAGCCAACCCCAAAAAATGTCGAGCATTTTCTGAGCTTCCGACCCGAGATTGAAAAAATCAATCCAAACTTTAAACGGAATGCTAACATCATTGTCCCGTTTCCTGGCAAAGTCTTCCCAACACGTACTCCCCTTTTTTAAATTCTCTATAAAGAAGTCGCATTTGAATGGACCGAAGAGTGCAAGCACGCCCCCCTCCATCTCAAACGAGCATTATCTCAACCATCGGTCCTGTCGAGACCAGACAAGGAAGAGACTCTCTACCTCTATCTGGCCGTAGCTTCTGAGGTAGTCAACGCTGCTTTCATTCAGAAGACCCCCGAGAGGAAGAGACCCGTTTACTTTATGAGAAAAGCCCTACAAGATCCCTAAGTAAGATACCAGAAGATAGAGAAAGTAGCCCTTGCACTCATCAACACGGTGAGGAGACTAAGATACTACTTCTTGGCACACACCATTGTGGTCCGCACGGACCAGCCAGTAAAACAACTACTTGGTCGGCCTGATATGGCCGACAAAATGCTCAAGTGGTTGTTTGAATTATCTGAGTTCGACATCAGATACGAGAGCTGGAAATCCCTTAAATCACAAGTGTTGGTCGAATTCGTAACAGAAATGACCTTCTCGATCCCCACAAATGGAGCACACAAGTGAACCATCTTCGTGGACGGAGCTTCCAGCTCGACGGGAAGCGGAGGAGGTGTCGTACTAGAAAATAAGGAAGGAATACTAATTGAAGTCTCCATTGCTCTATCCTTCCCAGCCTTGAACAACCAAGCAAAGTATGAGGCTCTCCTCGTTGGACTCCGCCTAGCCGAGGACTTGGGCGCCGAGGAAGTAAAGATCTTCATAGATTCCCATCTCGTCGCCTCCCAGGTACGAGGGGAATACTAGGTCAAAAATGACCAACTCTCAGAATACTGGACTCTAGTTCAAGAAAGAATAAAGAAATTCAACTTTGTGGACGTACAACATGTTCCCCGCGAACATAATTTGTGAGCAGATATCCTGTCGAAATTAGCCAACACAAAGAAGAAAGGAAGGAACAAATCCCTAATACAGGAAATATTCCCTCGACCAAGCATTGAAAAGTCATCTAAGGAGAGTCATCTAAAAGTGTAAAACGTATACTTAGGTATCTTTGTGGTACTCCTAAGTATGGACTTTGGTTCTCCAAGGGTAGTAATTGTTCTTTGGTTGGCTATTCCGATTCCGACTTTGCGGGTTACAAATTGGATAGGAAAAGCACAAGTGGCACTTGTCATTTCTTTTCAAACTCCTTAGTTAGTTGGCATAGCAAAAGGCAAGTTTCAGTTGCTTTGTCAACGACCGAGGCGGAATATGTTGCAGCCGGTAATTGTTGTGTTCAAATTTTGTGGCTCAAATAACAATTACTCGACTATGATTTAAAACTTAATCATATTCCAATATTTTGTGATAACACAAGTGCCATCAATCTAACCAAAAATCCAGTTCTACACTCGCGCACTAAACATATTGAAATTAGGCACCACTTCCTTAGGGATCATGTAGAGAAAGGTGAAGTCGTGTTTGAGCACGTTGATAGCAAAAATCAACTAGCCGATATGTTTACAAAACCACTTGCGACCGAACCATTCTTTCATATTCGTAGGGAACTCGGTGTCCTTGATATTTCAGATAGATCGCAACTCCAATGAGTTGTATTCCCTTTATTTATCTTTGTGTCTCTATGATTCGTGAATATCATCTTGGGCTGGCGACATGTGAGGGCATCGTGTCATTCAAATACGTTCAGCAATATCCTTCCTACTCTTTCTCATTAGTGATCATTTTGCTTAAATGTTGGTGATATGAAATGATTAAATGCTTTGTATGTTATTGCTTCTGTGCATGCTGTTGCACCCCAAAATTTGCCCTCCCATATTCTTCAAGAAATTGCCAGGTCAAGCTACAAAATTCTCCAAGGGTTGCACAGTGCAAGGGTATCCTAAGCAGTCAAAATTAGGGTTTTG